GGCCAAACCAGCCTTCTCAGGAATAAGAGAAAGCATAGGAGAAACCATGCGATTAATGGTGGATTCAGCAAATAATGTGGATTGTAGGCGAAATTCTAGCCTCGGAAGTAAAACAATATTATAAAGATAGGCCACGTGTTGTGCCAAAAGCTTTTTAGGATTAAGTAAAGCAGCCATATCTTTGACCATGGAAACAGTTTGGTTGTGAACAAAATGAGAAGAAGCTGAAAGATTAAACCAAACACCTAAAAATCGAAAAGATGTAGATAAGGCTAATGCCTTTAAAGTAAGCGTATGAGATGTAATTAAAGGGGATGGAGAAAGATCAAACACAATAGTTTGAGAAAACTGTTCAGAAGAAAGAAGGATATATTTTGCTGAGTTTGCTTGAGTATTATTTAAGGTATAAAATTCAGCAGTAATGGAAAGGCGATCTTCAATTCCTCGTTTAGATGAAGCAATTAAAGTAGAATCATCCATAAATGTAATATGCGAAACAGGAAGATTGTTTTGTTCTTATTCAATTGGAGAATAATCCAATAATGCAGAAGATTTCAAAATAAAAGGATCACAAGCTTCTCGATTAAGTGTGGTAAGCAAAGGATCCAAGTAAATAACCCATAACAATGGAGAAATGATTTCACCCTGGTCAATACCAATTCTAACTCTATATCCAGAAGTATCACCATGATGGGTAATAATTTTGTTATTACGTCTTGTAAAAAGATTGATGATAAATTTAATCAATAAAGACGGTATATGCAGACAGATTAAAGCTAATCTGAGCATGTTTAAATCAATTGAGTCAAAGGCCTTAGAAATGTCCTGAGAAACAATCCATAATTCTTGGTCATCACTTTTATCAAAGCGTCGTTGATGAATAATAGCATCGAGCATCTTAATAGGAATATCAGTGGAACCGCCTGGCAATCCAGCAAAATTACCACCTTGGAGTATTTGGTTGTCAGCTAGGATTTTTGAAAGACGAGTTGTAACGACCTTAACCACACATTTTCGTACAGTTTCCAACAAAGTGATAGGTCGCGTATTCTTCAATTGGGCGTCAAATTCATGAGGTTTTGGAATGGGATAAACAAGCGCTTCATGCCAATCGGCAGGAATATCTCCATGAGTAAGACAAGCATTTGCTAATACAAGGGACAAATTGAAAGCTTCTCCAGTTAAATGTTTGAGCATCTCATAAGAGATCTTGGAAGGACCGGAGGCTTTATTATTAGGCATAGAATTGAGAGTGTTTTTCCATTCATTGGCCAGAATAGGAGACATAACCGAGTTGTATAACGACAAATCAATATCAGGAAGAGGAGTATACGCACATTGCCATCGTGGA